TATTTATGTGATTCATGTCTTGAACATGACATTATTGATCCTAGCAACAGTCATTACCATGGTATCATTCTCTGTAGGACCATAATTATTATGTGATGCATGTCTAGAACATGAAATTATTGGCCCTAGCAACAGTCATTACCATGGTTTCATTCTCTGGGTAGGACCATAATTATTATGTGATTCATGTCTTGAACATGGAATTATTGACTCTAGCAACAGTCATTACCATGGTTTCATTCTCTTGGTAGGACCATTATTATTATGTGATTCATGTCTTGAACATGGAATTATTGACTCTAGCAACAGTCATTACCATGGTTTCATTCTCTTGGTAGGACCATTATTATTATGTGATTCATGTCTTGAACATTGAATTATTGACCCTAGCAACAGTCATTACCATGGTCTCATTCTCTGGGTAGGACCATAATTTTTATGTGATTCATGTCTTGAACATGGAATTATTGACCCTAGCAACAGTCATTACCATGGTTTCATTCTCTGGGTAGGACCATAATTATTATGTGATTCATGTCTTGAACATGGAATTATTGACTCTAGCAACAGTCATTCCCATGGTTTCATTCTCTGGGTAGGACCATAATTATTATGTGATTCATGTCTTGAACATGGACCATAATTATTAGAGAGGTTCGGATACACATTTTATATGTATATGTGTGCATAACATCGTTTCTGTGGTGACGTCATAGAATCTCAAGAACGTCCTCACATACACATAAATAGATTTTACATAAAGACAGCTGATTCCATGTATGTTGGGAACGTGTGCATTTATTTTCCTTCTGGGACAGAAAAGTGTACACACTCAGTGATTGGTTAATGTCAGCTGTATGCGGGATTGCATTTATATACCCAGACAATATTTAATCCATAATTCATAATTACATATGAAACTGACCCAACATATACACGACTGGTCATCAGGGACTTGCGTGCATGTGTATTTCCCGGTGTAGATTCCTATGTCATGTATCAGGTTAATTCATATTTCATGTATCAGGTTAATTCATATTTCATGTATCAGGTTAATTCATATTTCATGTATCAGGTTAATTCATATTGCATGTATCAGGTTAATTCATATTTCATGTTCATTGACCACATCAACAGTGTTTCATGTTTATTACTGTGCCGTCGGCAAGTCCATTGGGTGCCTCACCTCACCAAGGCCGATCAACACAAACATTGTTGTATTTTGTGATGCCATTTTGCTAATTATTCTGGTACAAAACAATGAAATTTAATTTTCTTCTTCGCAATACTCCTAGCACTGAATGTATCGTATTAGCTTTGATAGGCAATCTGAATCTTTTTCTTAAATCAGAAATTGACTGATAATTGATGCCCAGGCATGCCTAAGATATAAATCCAGACACACGCATGCATGGATGCACGAACGCACACACAGAGGTCCATAAATCCATAATTCCCTGTTTCAAACGGCATTCCAATGGAGACTAATAAGCCCAAAAAGTTAGAAAAGTTAAATTACAACCATGTAATAAGCTGCACATCGAGAAAATTCATAGAGCTTTATTGGGTCTTGGGCTTATCATCTGATAAATTTGAGGATTCACCAGGATTCAAAGTACTGTGTTGAGCAGGAAAGAATTCAGAACAAAATTTAATCTTGTGAATCGACATTCAATATTGCTCAAAAGCATCAAAGGAAATTCGAACACACAATAAAACAGAAAGCAGAAATTTGAATGTTTATTGTATATTTTCCCCAATTTGTTCAAATTCAAAACATCAAATATGTCACATATGAATGCTCTCAGAGTGCAACTTCAAAGCCAGATGAAGCAGATTTATAGGTTTTACAACCGTATTTAACTTAACCAACTGAAACACCAATATCAACTTTTGTATACTTTCACAAAAATATTTCACACAATTGTTTTTACAAATTTTGATCAAGACAAAGGGGAATGCTGTCCATCTGGATCAAAATTAGCAAAACAATCATTAAACTAGCAGCCTGTCAGACATTTCAATTAACTAATGATATCACTTTCTACCAAAAATGACAAAAATATTCATCAAAATTAGAGAATTAAAGATATCATGACGAAATAAACAAATCTGAGAGAGGTTCACATGTTGTACTTATATATGTAATATCAAAGTAATCGGACTTGTGGTTTTTAACAAGAAGTCGAAAATATCGCTTTTTACCAAAAAAGACAAAAATATTAACCAAAATTAGAGAATTTGAGATTTTGACATGAAATTAACAAATCTGAGTAAGAACCATCCAAGGTACTTTGCATATCAAACATTTTGACTTGCGGTTTCGAAGAAGAAGAAGTTGACGATGACAACGGACAATCAGTAATATGAACAGCTCCGCCAAAAAAAAATGCAAAACGCACTTCCAATTTTTGCAGGAAAAGTTTCTGACAAACCAGTGAATTAATAACCTAGTGAATAACCTTGCAACATCAAATCCGCTAAAATTAAACCCAGTGAATATTTTTTTTCTCTACAATATGCAAATTAGCTAATTAAAATGCATATCATCACAGCAGAAATTACATTTGTAGTTGCATCATGTAGCTGATCCAATGACACATATTACCTAATGCTGAAAATCATTTTAGGTATGGACCTTTTGACATTTAAGACACATGAGAAAGATTCCATAATCATTAAAAAGTATTATTCAAATTTCCTAATAAACAATCAGAAGATTTATAGAGATAACCAATCCTTCAATACTTATGTGCAATTGAAAGTCTTAATTAGGATACTGTTGTCTATATGCTGTTATTTATTGGAAAATTAGAACAACTTCTTTCATTATTATTTACATGTATAGTTTTCGATGATGATTTCCTTTGTGTATTAACATTCCTCCTGGGGAGGTGGTTAATCCCACAGAACTGATTCTAATTTCATTGAGTAATAACGACAAACAGCTAGGGATGATCTATTAATGGTGTTAAGTCATTAATTCATTCCCTTTCCACCCTGCTGACTTTTCCTCATCTCAGTTAATTGGTTTTAATTACCAGACTGGATGGCAAATAATTCCCCTGTGAAGATACGATTATATATACAATACATTGATTTTATGCTATTTACAGTGATACTGCCTTTCAATTTTTTGTTCTTTTTAATTTTTTTTTTATAAATTTGCCAGTGTTGTCATAGTTACATATACATGTACATGCAAATATTAAAACTGAATTTCACTATAATTGTTCTAACTTGACACTATGAAAGTAATTGACTGATGACTCATTTTCCATGATTCGATTTAAATCTCTTCTTAATCTCAGCACTGGAAATGTTTAACAATTTAAATGCTATTTGTTTGCCTGCTAACAATTTTGGTGCAAATATATTTTTTTTTTTAAATAAAATTACTATTACTATTTGAATATTACTATACTATTTGGAAGGCATAAGTCTATAAAATAATTACTTAAATTATATGGAAATTGAGACCTACTTTTGTTTTAAATTGATTGAGACAGAGCTTTGTTGCTGACACAAAAGAAAAAGCATATTCAATTTAAAATAAAAACTTTTGCTGGCCCCTCGTTAACAGGATTGCTGTGAAAGGTTAAAAAACGTTAAGAGTTGAAAGTAATACATCAGTATTACATCTATGGTACGACTCCCCATCTTTGTCCTTTGACCAATTTCTCACATGTGTGGATCGAAACGCATGAGAAACAAACAGACATATACAAGTCTATTTTGCAATCGTTGATAATGACGGTATGAATTGCGTAAATTACTTGATTTATAAAACCTCTGACATTCTGCCATCTCTTTTACTGAAAGCTATTTTTAACTTTTATGTACGCACTGTTTTGTGCGTATAAACTCAAACTGACATACCACGTTACTGTTATAGCAACTGCAGATTTAAATTCTAGTTCCACAAGATTTTCCATTATCTCCTCAAATAAAACACAACTAATTATCCACTTGCGAGGTCAACAGCGTCACCTCAGAGTGATTTTATTTGAGAGATTTTGTGAAGTTATACACGGTGCATTACACATAACGGCATCATAAATTCTCATAAACTAACAAAGGTACCATTGTACAGAGATAAAAAGATTATTAAGTGCAAAGTAAGGTGTAGTTACAGCGTAGTAAAATCAATGTAAACACGGTCTTTCATGCAAATTAGCGGTGAGAACCGATGAATGACACTGCTCATTACATGTGTATAAAACTGAGTGTGAAAAAAAATCAATAAAGCATGGATGTTTTCTAAATGCTGGGTAAACAAAACATACATTTTCATCCAGAATTACGGTTTGATTCTGTTGTAGATTGAGATATAATTGATGGTGAAATGTTTTTAAATTTAAATTTGATTTCTTCCTGAATAGCCCTCCCCCCTTCACATTCATGGTATTAATGATTTTTCAAACCACACTTGACTTACTGTCATCAGTAAACATTTATTTTCTTTCCATGCTCCACAGCAACCAAGAGCAGCCATCAATATTGCAATAGCTCCAGCTACCATCAATGTGTATGCTGAATTCAACAACAATGAACTCCCCATAATCGCCTTGATGCTAGTACTCTCAATATAAATCCATACCCCAACCCCAAGAACTGCACAGCCAGCAATCTGTAACCATAGAAACACAGGAGCACTAATAATAATAACAATAATTATCGTAAATATTATTTTTTTCAACTGAACTCTTGATTGAGTCCACACACTGAGTTGAAATTATTAAGGCAATATTTTAAACTGTGAAAGCAAACATCTGTGATTCATAAAAACCCAGCCTTGAACAAATTGAAATGCTTGCTTTAAGGTACAGTAGAATGATTGGAACTACAATATACAAGGAATTTGAATTTCAATGCATGAATTACAAAATCTATGTTGTCAAGGAGACAGATACAAAACACAGATAAGCATTAAAACTGCTCTTGTTCATCACCTCATTAAAATAATGAATCCGGAATATTGGTACAAATTGAAATGTCTAAATTTTAAGTGATCTACGGCACAAATTAAGAATAAAATTCATTGATTCACTTACCAGAAATATAAAATTGAAGAAAAAGATGAGAAATTTAAGACACTTGGCTCCACATCCCAACTTCTTCTTGATCGTCACTTTGGTTTTATCTGCAGACATATTGTTAGCTCTTCTTCTTTGTCTATTCTGTTCAGAGGATAAAAACATCATCTTGAAAGTTATTATGATCGACAGCCTGTGTTGAAATATGCCACTAATCCAAGGAAAAGATAGAACGTAGTGAGCACGGTGAGAGTCAGAGCAATAACGACAGCCACATGGAGTGCATATTGATTTGTATCCAAGATTACTTCCAAAGTTGAATTTGAGCTGTCAGGAATAAGAGGTGGTACGAAGCAAGGCTAATAGAGCAGTCATCTATCCATGACATCTCCCACACCCTACAATGCGTAAATAGTAACACACTCGCATCTCCAGAGAATTTCCAGTCTGCGCAACTCTTCTTACTAATTCCATCACCTTTTGTAAAGCCCCCCCCCCTCCCTCAATAAATTATAATTTGATAAATAATGTTATAATTTATTTGTTGAATTCTTAGTAGACTGCGTTTAAGGTTTAATATATCAGGTAATATCACATTCAATTTAATGATCAAGATACGTGAAAGCAAACAGTCTGAAGGTTTCTAAAGGAAAATACGTAACTGTTCTGTTTAAATTGGTCTTGAATAAAAGCTTTATACTTTGATAAAAGATGAAGCCATTTGACCTTAAAAAAGCAAATAAAAGTATATTAAGTTTCATGTAATGGTAAACAACATACAATTAAAGACTATGGAAGATACCACTCTTTGAAGGGGTTGCTAATCTAATGATGAGAGGGTCAAGATGAATATAGTTGCTATGATGCATCTTTTCACCATATCACTTAGTTTGCGGTCAAGATACATAAATTTTAAAGATCGGGTTTCAAGTCATCACTCCGAGAACGCTCGATTTACTGTTTCATCTTGAGGACGATGGCGAAGAGTTAAAGGTTATGACAGTGTACAATTATGAAAACACCTGTAAAACTGACAGTAACAAACCATTGATAAATTACCAAAACTACTATCGTATTCGCTCTATTAGATAAACTCAAAATCACTTCTATTTTATGCTAGATTATTGAAATATGATTTATTTTTACCATATCCTCTGTATTTTACATAAATATATGAAACATGATGCTATCATAGTATATATTCTCCTGTCGATTTGACAGATGAGTAGGTAGACAAGTAAGTTAGACCTGCTTGCCTGACCAGCACATGACTTTTTAAGGTAAACAAAGGATGTGCAGTTCCTTCTCCACCCTCTCACCTGACTGCCGCTCATAGTCAAGTTACAGAAACTGCCATGTGTAAGACAGCCCAAATACGAATGTCACCAGCCTGGCATTGCTGAGTGTGCAGTCGACCATGGGAGTCAAACCCACAATCTCCCTGATGTTGGGCAGACACGCTAACCATTACGCCACAAACCAGGTCAGCTAACCATGGGAGTCAAACCCACAATCTCCCTGATGTTGGGCAGACACGCTAACCATTACGCCACAAACCAGGTCAGCTAACCATGGGAGTCAAACCCACAATCTCCCTGATGTTGGGCAGACACGCTAACCATTACGCCACAAACCAGGTCAGCTAACCATGGGAGTCAAACCCACAATCTCCCTGATGTTGGGCAGACACGCTAACCATTACGCCACAAACCAGGTCAGCTAACCATGGGAGTCAAACCCACAATCTCCCTGATGTTGGGCAGACACGCTAACCATTACGCCACAAACCAGGTCAGCTAACCATGGGAGTCAAACCCACAATCTCCCTGATGTTGGGCAGACACGCTAACCATTACGTCACAAACCAGGTCAGCTAACCATGGGAGTCAAACCCACAATCTCCCTGATGTTGGGCAGACACGCTAACCATTACGCCACAAACCAGGTCAGCTAACCATGGGAGTCAAACCCACAATCTCCCTGATGTTGGGCAGACATGCTAACCATTACGCCACAAACCAGGTCAGCTAACCATGGGAGTCAAACCCACAATCTCCCTGATGTTGGGCAGACATGCTAACCATTACGTCACAAACCAGGTCAGCTAACCATGGGAGTCAAACCCACAATCTCCCTGATGCTGGGTGGACACGCTAACCATTTTGCCAAATATCAAGTTTTTTTATTATATTATACTACGATAATTCATTTTATTTTTTTTTTCAATTTTAGACTTTTGGAAATTATGTAATTTTGATCCGAATTCATTAATAAAAATATCTAAATCTATTTTAAATATCATACAATTTAGGCAACAAGATGGCATTCAAAGAGTTTAATAAGATTTTAGAAACCCTACCACGATGAAACCACATATTTTACATGTTATTTCTTTTAAAGGCATTTCAAACAGCACACTTTTTTTGCCACAGTTTTCCCTGAAAGAATATGAGCACCTATATTTTTTTTATACAAGCTTTTACACCTTTATACAATGCATTAATGCAAACTAATATATTAGCAATATATTTAAACTTCAACAATATACCATATCATGGTAGAAAAGAAAATGCAAGAACTGGTCAGACATGTAAGAAGCCTATTTTGGGAATTGTTAGCCACCAACTGCACACGGGGAATGTAACCGGCTTCCCCTGGATAAGAATGGCACAGGCCACAAAGTCAGATGCCAGTTCTGGAACCAGGAAAAACTAGAGAGTAACTAACAGGGAGTTAGCATTTAACTCTACAGAGCAATGCAAAGTGAAGTAAAGAGGAAATTGTATTGATTTACTAAACATAAAGGTCAGACCATTATACACAGGAGGGAGTAAGTATAAAGAAAAGTACTTCAGATGTTTTAAAATTAGGATATAAAAAGACAAATTAAGATTGCTCAGTTGTGTTTGAAACTGTTACCGTAAACCCCCCCCCCCCCCCGCCCAATTTTTTTTTTTTTCAAATTGAACAGCTCATGTTTTACTTTTTCCCCCTAGAGTCCACATATAGTAATACGTTTATCTAAAAAATTTACTTTTTTACATGTGACTTTGTATTTTCAAACATACTTTTGTGAAACTTTATTTATCAACATTAAAATTAGACACATTCAAAATTAGGGGTTATCACTGAATTGATATTAACTAATAAAAAAAGTAATAATTTTTAATACTAAAAAAAGTAAAACTCAGACTATCTGAGTTTTATATTCAAAGATGGAGAGAAAAACTAAATTTCAGTGAAACCAATGAAAATAGGGGAACAAAACTGAGAACATACAAACTATTCAAAGTAAGCTATAATATGGAAAATTATTTGCAAAACATTTCAAATTTCAGCCTCAGGAAAATGCTTTCAAAATTCCGTCTGAGTGACCACAACTTAGAAATAGAATTAGGTAGAAGAACAAAGCCCAAAACAGAATTAGAAAATAGACACTGTAATAAATGTAACACTAAAGCATTTCCTGCTATTTTGTACTGGCTATATAGAACAAAGAAAAAAACTGTTTGATGAGTGTTCAATAAATATTTACACAATGGATGTGAATTCCATATTTAAAAAGATTATAGAGAATAATATAGCTTTAGCAAAATACTTAAAGAGCACAATTTTTAAAACCACAGAAAGTAATTAATTTATTTTTTTTATTTTATTTTACTAACATTTTATTTTTATCTCTTATGTATTGTATGTATTTATGTTCCTTACCATACAAAAACCCTCTGAAGGTTTTTTAGTAGTGTAATAAAGTTATTATTATTATTATTATTAACATAAAATAAAAATCATGTATAAATGACACTCCTTTTCACATAATACTACACACAAATGTATCATGATAAAATACTTTTACTTCTACACTTCCTTTCTAATAATTCAACATGCTACAGTAACAGGATATTGTCAAATTAAAAATCATAACATATACCGATAGTGCTGACACCATCTTTTCCAGAATGGTACATGCCAGGGGTATCACATTCGGTCATAAAATTAAAATTCATAAAATCTTGGTCAGATCCCTTTTCAAAGAATGAAATATGCCAGGGTATAACATTCCGTTATCAAATTAAAATTCATAACATATTGTCGGACCCCTCTTCAAAGAATGAAATATGCCAGGGTATCACATTCGGTCATAAAATTTAAATTCATAACATCTTGGTCAGACCCCCTTACAAAGAATGAAACATGCCAGAGTATCATATTAGCAAGAAGTCAAACTAAATAAGCAATGGGCACAATAAGATTGTTTAATTACATAAAATTAATCATAAGATGATGGATATACTGTCAGCAATGACTACTCTGACAGTTGATAAGGTCTGGAAGCTAATTATTCACCAATTGATTTTCAGTACTCATTTTGACAAATGATTCAAAAAGACACTGTAAGCATAAATACTAGACAGCCATAGTTGCCCTAGATTACCAACCATGAAGAAGACAGGGGCGACGGCACAAAATTTTGCATGGGGGGGGGGTGAGATCTGAAATCTAGACCCTCTGAAACACTATTTCCTGCATTTTGAGGGTTTCAACATGTTTTGGGAGGGACGACCCCCCAACCCCCAACCCCCAACCCCCGGTGCTGGCGCCACTGGAAGATTTGTTTATTCTCTTGGGTTCCGGCCATAAGTTAATTAATGATTTACAGTATTATTCAAAAGTAACGAAGTATAAATTAAATTAAATGTGCTAGTAATAGATGAAATACAGTATTAATTTATACTTTGTTAGTTTTAAATAAGACTGTAAATCATTGTCCTAGGTAATAACAAGGATTTATAAGATAGAGGTTGCAACTGGATTTACATAGCGAAGATTAGAAATAACAAAAATTGTGAGATGATGACAAAATCTAATGCAAAAATATGAGACTTATGTGAAAAACCTTGTTAGCGTTTTCACCGTCAATCTGTTTTTGCTTGTTTACAAAGTGTGTTAGATGTGTTTTGCCTTTTTCAATACAATGATACCTCAATAATCTCGCCCTTTTTTTTTTGGACTACACAATCAAATCTTTCCACTCGTACACTGCATTCTGCAATGTCAATGTTAGAACCATTGATGTTCGGTTGACACGCAGATGGAATTTTTCTATTATATCACCATACATAGATACTGTAGAATACTT